CCCCCTTAAGCGAAAGGAAGCACAGAATGTCAATAGTATAGACGCAAGCATCCCTCTCGATCCTTATATCACTGACTCTACAAGAAAGCAACTCAACAGCATATTGAATAGATACGAAAATTTATTTGGTCCAGTTGATCGGTGCACAGAAATCGCTACCAACGTACAGGCAGAAATAAGGACTAACACAGAAACACCCATTTACACGAAAAGCTACCCCTACCCCGTCAACATGCGCGGCGAAGTCGAGAGGCAAATTCAAGAACTCCTTTCAGAAGGCATTATTCGTCCTTCGAAAAGCCCATATAACTCTCCCATATGGATTGTCCCAAAAAAATCTGGCTCAGACGGGGAGAAGAAATACCGCATGGTAATCGATTTCAAAAGGCTAAACGCCGTAACCATCCCCGATACATATCCGATTCCAGATATCAACGGCACTATCGCTAGCCTCGGTGATGCCAAATACTTTACCACACTAGATTTAACTTCAGGATTCCACCAAATCCCAATGAAGGAGCGGGACATTCCGAAAACGGCGTTTTCTACTATGAATGGGAAATATGAATTTTTGCGGCTCCCCTTCGGGCTTAAAAATGCACCCTCGATCTTCCAACGGATGATCGATGATGTCCTCAAGGAATTCATAGGTCGCGTTTGTTTCGTGTATATCGACGACATAATAATTTTTAGCAAAGACGAGGCCACCCATTTAAAGGACATCGAAACAATCCTCTCCAGACTCCTAGCCGCAGGGCTCAAAGTTAACCTTCAAAAAACGCAATTTTTGAAAAAAAGTGTAGAATTCCTGGGCTACATCGTAACCTCGGAAGGAATATTACCTGATCCGAAAAAAATTAATTCAATTAAAAACCTGTTGCCACCTTCAAATTTGAAGGAGCTTAAAAGTTTTCTGGGGCTAACATCCTATTACAGAAAGTTTATCCGCGATTATGCGAAAATCGCGAAACCACTTACCAACCTTACGAGGGGAGAGCATGCGCAAGTCAAAGCAACCCAATCCAAGAAAGTACTAATAACACTAAATAAAGACGCCCTTAAGGCATTCGAGAACCTCAAGGAAGTGTTAACCACTTCAGAGGTCCTAACGTTTCCCAATTTTGAAAAGACGTTTAACTTAACAACCGATGCCTCTGACTATGCAATTGGTGCAGTACTGTCTCAAGACTACGACGGTAGAGACAAACCAATAGCGTTTATCTCGAGAAGTCTTACGACCACAGAGGAAGGCTATGCGACGAATGAAAAGGAGATGCTCGCCATAGTATTTTACGTTCTTCATCGTGATGTCGTGGACATATTCCAAGTTTATCCTCGTGGTGTGATTCTTTACGTTAGATAGTATAGATGGCAGGGCATGCGTTGTAACCGCCTCGCTGCTAGAGAACTCTTGGTCACCGATTCTAACTGTTTCATTATGCAATTGGATGACATATGTGCCGTTTATTACCTCTGAACCATTATTGCTCCTGATTTTGCCTTGGTAGTTGGAGATGAAAATGGTGTTCTGGTTTATCAATTCTATATGTGTGTCATTTCGCCTCTTGAATTGGCAACTAGCTTCTCCTCCTTTTAGCAATCGTGGTAAGCAGTCGCTCTCCTCCAATTTGATCAAGGATTCTGCTTTACATACTGTGGTTGAGCTGATCATTAAACAATCCTTCGTCAATCCGTATGTTTCTTTCTGATTGACGAGCATCCTGTCGAATTGTAGGTCAAGCTGTTTGCCTTCGTAGATTCCGGCGCGAGTAATGAGGAGATTATATTTGCTAGCCGTAACTTTGGGCATTGAGAGGACGTAGATGAGTAGTGTCCCGTTTGTAAGTACAGATGGTTCGCCATATTCGATTGCTTCGATGATATTTTGATATGGAAGAGTTTCTATTTCTGATAAGATCTGGTTGACTTCGCCTGTGTCGAGTAAATTGGTATTGACAATTCCGTGTTTTGCTAGTTGGCATGCCCGCACTATCTCATTAATCTCGTCTCGAACTAGCAGGATATTGTGAAGTGCGCTTTGTTCGAGCTCTATTGATTCGGTTTCCTTCGCTACGTAATTGGTGCGGTCCACCACTTCGTCGATTTTCTTCAGGACCTCTTGCGTAGTTATGAATAGTTTTTTATTGATTTTGTATTGATGGTTATTGTTTTCGATGACCTCGTTTTGACTGTTGAGGATATTATTCCAGTCAGTTGCGTCAGGTGATCCTGCCAGCCATTTCCAGGCTGAGCCTATCCAGTCTATAGATCGGATTGTTCTCGTTTTGCTTCTGGTTGCCATCAACTCCTCGAGTCGCCCCAATGTTTGGTTAATATAAAGCTGCGCTAAGAGTTGGTCATTGGGTCGTTTTATTAGGTGACCTGTGAGGTTTTGCATTTGCATCAGAACCGTGACATATTGTTGGAGGTTGACGACATGTACCAGCTTAAATGACCCACCGATGATCCACCCATTTCCGTCCTGGATCGTCACGATTGGTGCCTTGTAATTGAAAATATGGAGACCGCTGATGGCTGATGCCAGCAGTGGGAATCTGCAACAATGTTATATCTAATTTAATGTTGTTAGTGGGTTAGTAATCATTAGAATCTATGAATTTAGGTTATTGTTGTTGGGTTAGCAAAAATTGTTTCTACTACTTATTGACTATTTAATTAAGTATGTTAATGTTAAAATTTTTTTATTTTTTTTTTTTTGATGGTTAGATGTGTTATATTGTTATTGGGTTAGCAATAATTGTTTCTATTACTTTTTGACTATTAAGTAGGTTAATACAAGGTTTTTTGTAATTGTCGATGGTTAGGTGAAAAATTAATACAAGGTTTTTTGTAATTGTCGATGGTAAGGTGAAAAAATTGTTGTTGTTACTTATTGGCTATTTAAGCGGGTTAGTACTAGGTTTTTTTGTTTCTTTTTTTTGTGTAATTTTGGATGGTTACATGTGTTATGTTTATATTTCTCTTAGGCAGTTCCTACTCGTCCGGAAATTCTATAACAAAGAATTCCCAAAATTTTTGTTATTTGATTCCCTTTTTTTTTTTTTTTTTTTTTTTT